ATTTCAAAGTTTATAGACATTAAATTTCTAGTTATTAAGGAAAATGTAGAGTGATCAGGTTCCTGTAAGGTATATTTAGACAAACTCTATAATTATAAATCTATTTACTAAATGGCTATCACCCAAGGTCTTTAATAAGTATAATGCTCACATGTGCAACTTTTAATGATTTTTCATTTAGTGAAAGTTTGTATTTGGATATTGTCTGTTTTAGACACATTTCTATCCATAGATATTTGGTTTATTTCTAAAATAAAGTATTCAACTCCACTCTGATTAAAATTTATGGTTAATCTTATTAAAAAAAAAGGTAGGATCACTTGGAAACATGCATGTTTGGATCACGTTGCATGTAATTTTTATGCTACACATCCACACTTGATCTTGTCATTTGATTGTGTTGATAACGTGACCATTGAAGGTTTAGTTACGATATTAATAACGAAGACTACTTTGATTCTATATGGATATAATCAATGGATAAGATTGTTCGAAAATACTTTTGGTTTTGATAGAAAAAGTTTTGATGTCATAAGATTATATACATTTATCAAATGATATACGTGGCTCAAGTGGGAATTGTTGGGTTTTTTAATTAGTCTGTGAGCCTACATATGTAATCAATTGTGTACAATGCTACCTTAAAGTTTATCGCAATCAAAGTGATCTAATAAAGAATTAAATTTATAAGCTTTGAGTATCTAAATAAAGTGGGTCGAATTATATATAGAGACTATATTCCTTTAAAATTATGTTTTATGATGGAAGAAATACATATAAAAACTATATATAGTATTATGGTCCCCAATTCATATATAATTTTCTCATTCTTTGTGTCATCTCAAGAATACAAATGAAAATATATTGAAGAGGAAGTCTCAAAACCCACAATCAAAAATCAAAAAGAAGGAATTCAAGAATTAAGATTATGGAGCAAGAATCTAAAATCAAGATCAAGAACTCAAAAATCAAAAGAGCCAATAATCAAGATTCAAGATCCATTATTAAATCACAATTTTCAATAAATTAAGGTATGATCTGCATTTAATAATTCTCTTGGTGATTTGGCATGGAGAATCCGACACTTAAGCGATTAAGTTTCTAATTTTATAAAGTTTAAAATTTCATAAAGCTTTAATATAAACAGTATTGGAAACTTGTTACCGTCTGTCTTATTTGCCTTTCGCATTATCAAACGTGCAAAAAATAATTGAGAAATCAATAGAAATAGCACCAAGAAGGGACACCACTATGTGGGTCCTGCCTTGTAGTCCTCTTTTCTACTTCCTCGCGAATAATGCTACTCAAACATGGACAGGGACATGTGCTGCGTTGGCAGCAATCATGCGGTTAAATTTTTTTTTTCAAACTGTCCAATATTATTACGCCACGTGTCTCCCCATTTTTTATCCTTGTCATTGAGCATTTTGTATAGCGTGAATGCTTCCTCACACCATCCACTCCAGAATTTTTTGGTAAAATGCATTTAATAAAATAAATAGTTTTTGTTCTTGATCTTGGTTAGGCGACACACTTGGCCTTGATCTAAAAATTTAAAAAATCGCGAGAACAAGCTAATTTTCATGAATACGGGTAACATTTAATTTTTTTTTTCCCAGAAAACTGATGTCATAACATAAATTTTATTAAAAAGAGAATACTAAGTCTTCATGGAACCCATATCGACCAGCCAGTTAGCTACTAGACAACAATCATGCTACTTGAACATTTTTTTTTTTTTATACAATCTTTGTTGACAACTCACACTGACAACATCACATTCATTTATTTCAAAAACTATTTTTTAAAACAATGATCCAAATTTTGATAAAATCAATATAGTCAACCACAATTGTCAACAACAATTGTACATATAGGTTAATTCCACCGGACAAATCCCAGATTGAAAAAAAAAAAACTAGTTTAAACAAAGCATAGTATAAGAATTTGCTTCGAGTGTGTCATAGGAAATGAAAGGTTTTTCAGATACGTTCAATTCACAATGTCATCAACCATCCTTTTGATAATTTGATTAGTAAAATACCTAAATTGAGAGGAAGAATTGAAGGACAAATCCTCGAAGAACTCAAAGGTAGAGACAGAGACAGAGTTGAAAAGATAAAGTGTGTTTGATTTCGTCAGGTTTTGCCTCGTTTGGGTTTTGAACAGTGAGAAGCTTCACTAGATGGTGCAGTGGGTAATCTCAGAATCAGTACAGTAACGTGTGACTTCAGGGCTTTCCCGTACAATTCCGACCCTGCAAACTGAACTCGTTTGTCACCCTTCATTTATGGAGCAAACCCTGTTATGGAATTTAAGAAATATGGAATTAGCATTGAGGAAAGTTTGTCGTGTTTAAAAGCTGACCAAATATTAATGTTGAAGATCTAAAGGGTTGATGACTTGCTTGCTCTAGTTCAAATAGGTTGAAATTTCAACTAATATTCTCATTTTTATGAAGTGTTTGGCCAAAGTGTTACTTCAAATTCAAAATCTATCAGAATGTTAGATGAACAAGTGAGACAAAAGAAAATGATGCAGTAAGGACTGAGATCTCCAATAGCATTTAAACAGTAATAAGAGACATCAGGACAAAATAGACCAAGCATTAGTGAAATTGCACTAATGTTGTTTTTGTAACATGGAAAATTAATGTTACTTTGCCAAAACAAATCTTCCAGTTAATTATTCATGTCTTGATCAAGTTTAACTTGGAGATGGAGAGTCTATACAAGTATAAACGTTAGAATGGGTTGACTCTTGAATTATGTATAATGGTTTTCTAGTTAACTTCATTGAAATAATAATCTAAACACGGATTAAAATTCCTAAGTATGTTCGAGGATAATTCAACAAACGGTTGATATTAAATAACTGATAGCAAATGTAAGATATAAGTTTCAAAATTCACAAATCCTTATAAGAATTCGGTGCAATGGAGGCTTGTTCGTTTTTCATTTATAGTTGCTAAAATTTTAGGGCATGTTCTTTTTGCTATTTTCAGACTATTTTCGGTTTCGAAAATACTGAAAATACGTTTATTTACCTATTTTTACAAACGAATTTTTAAAAGTCGTTTTGCCTGTTTTCAGTTAAAACCAAGCCAAAACTTCAAAACGTGGAAAATTGCCAAATTTTGCCTATAGTTAGATAACTTGGTTGGGATAGTCGGTGATTTTTTTAAGGTCACGAATTCGATTTCATATTTTCATTTCACCGCAATTCAATAGAAGGGAATATTCTTTTTATATGCACAGTACAAAATTATTCAAATAAATTGGTAGGTGGCTAAGATTCGAACTCAGGTCATCAACAAAAAATTTCAATGCCTTACCACAATGTCAATTACTTTTACTTTGATATATAAATAAAAGAACTATATATAATAATAATCAGTTTTTCAAAATTAGAAAGTAAACGCATTTTCAACAATCTCAAAACACAAAACTCAAAATTAAAAATTGAAACACGAAAAGAACAACCACTTATTTTTTAAAAAAAATGAGCGATTGACAAGTAGATAGTAAATATATAGATCTTACGAAATATATAATTAAAATTAATATCTGACTTTAAAAAGTAAAATTTAAGTGAAGAAATGAATCCAGAATGGAGGCCAATTAAGGCCATCTCCAACTCTACACCAAAATATGAAATAATTTTTGGTACTATTTTACATTAAATCTTGCACCAAACTAAAATCATCTCCAGCCATTATACCAAATGAACAATGTTTAATCATTTTCTTCATTTTTCTATTCTTCACAATTTATTTATTTGAAAAATTATTTCTTTATTTATTTTACAACTACATAAATTACTAAATAAATAATTATGTTAAATTAACGAAAATATTAAATTCATTAACTATTATTTTTTACATTATTAAATTTTATAATAATAATAATAATAATAATAATAATAATAATAATAAATTATTGTATTAAAAAATATATAACACAAACGACACAAATATCATTAATCAATTTATTTGGGAAATGAAAATAAAGGGTAAAATTGCGTTTGCACCATTAGGGGTACATTGGAGTAGTTTTGCACCATTTTTTTGTGCAATTTGAATTTTTGGCGTCTCCTTTGGCGATGCCCTGAGGTCTATTTCCCTTTATTTTAAGCACTTGTGCCAAATAAGGATAGGAAGTGTCATTTCAATCAAATCATATTTTTGTTGCTTTTCTCACCCTATTTTCAAGATTTTCCCCTGACAAAGCGCATTTTTGGTACACATTATTTTTTTCATTCTCATTCTTCTACTCATTTTCAACCACACATTTTTAATAAAATAATATTTTTCATTACATCAATAACTTTTCTTTCCTTTTCAACCGCACATTCTCCATCAATTTACTATTTCATAATACATTCTTTCAAAATAATGTGGCTCAAACACACCTAAAATTAAGAAAAATAGTGCCCACTCTGAAAGAAATTACAATACACGCATGCATACATTGATACATATATAAATACACACACACATGCCTTGCAATGTTAGTTTAGTAGGAAGAAATGAAATAGTTTAACTTTAATTAATTTTAAAATATCAAGAAAGAAAGAAAGAAAAAATATTATAATTGAAAACAGTTATTTGAATTGGGCCATAGAAATAAAGAAAAAAATAAATTAAAATTTTATCTACAATAGTAACACTACAAAATAATTTTAGTCAATCAACAACATAATAATAAAAAAAAAGGAAACAAGAAAAAATTAAGCAAACTATCACAATCAGTTGACAGCACACAAACTCCAGAACTCTAGCAATCCACAAAACTTCAATCGAGTGATTCAAGAAAAGGAAAAGAGGAGTTGAAAATATTGCCATGGAATATACAAACTGCAAACAGAAATTAAGCAGAACTTCAATCTCAATACATGGATGGTAGTTGGTGAAGTCCCCTAAGTCAGTCATTAATAACACTTTCAGCTGCTTAATATTGTCCTAAATTCATCAGAAACAATTCGCTGAGAATAAATTATTTCTATCCCTTGTTGAGTTTCAGCGAATAATTTTCCCATATGTTGTCTGCATCTCCCATGAAGTACCTAAAGCAGAAATCATTCATTCCATTATCATTTGATCTTGATGTATGATCAGCATCTCGTTCATTGCTTATGGATTCAATGTTGTTCTGATAATAGGAGCAGCCTTTTGGATTCTCCCTTCTTTTGTTGTTGCACTCGAGTAGATAATTATTGACACTTACCCACTTTTCTTTGCACGTCAAACCACTCCTGTCGTGTCCAAAACAGGCCATTTTTGTGGCAATTTCCTCCCAAATGACCTCTTCAGAAACTCCACCTTGTAGCAATCTTTCTTCCATACTAGTCCTCAACTGGAATAGTCTTGTAATCTCACGATCAGGCCAAATATTGTCTACTTTAACTGTGTCGGTTATAGTTTCACTTCCATCGTCGTTCGGGTTTTTGCCTGCAGCTGCCATTAATTCTTTTCCATTCAATTTTTGCAAAGCCTCCATTAATGCGGCATCCCTTCCTTCAACCCATGCTCTTTCATTAGCCCAAAACTTTTGCTCCCTTTCTATTCTTTCTGCATCTTGTTTTCTCCATTCTTCCTCTCTCAAAATCCTTTCTTGTTCTTTATGCTCAATTGTCTTCATCATTTTCTCCATCCAGGCTTCTTGTTTTTCCATCAATTTCCTCATTTGGGTATCAATGAAGTCTCTTATCTTTGCTTTCCAGCAACTCTTACCTCTACTCTTCTTCCTCTTGTTAGTCGAATTGTGCTCTATTCCTTCACGGAGATCAATATCATCTGATGAGGTAGTATCAAAATCAGAAGAATTAGATAGACTAAGGCTGTAGTCTGAAAGTTTTGGAGCTGGATAGGTTTCTTGATTAGGCACTGCATTCGGTGTTTTGCACCCGAAACTGCTTCCGACGATATGAGTTTCTGAGGCTGAGGAACCATTGTTAGTTTCACCATAGAGGGCTTCAAGCTGGCGAAAAAATCTATAGTGCTTGCCATCTTGTCTTCCAGCCTTTCCTTCTTTTGTTTTCTTGTAATACTTGTGCAAATTCTCAAACTTCTCCCTGCATTTCTTGCCAGTCCTCTGATATCGATGTTCTTCAGACATTATCCTGAGATCAAACAAGTAAAAAAGAAAATTTTCTAAGTAATTATCAAGAATTGAAATAGGTGTATTAAAGAACCATATTTTAAAATGCCAAAAACCCATAAATATGGATCTTTACAATCACGGGTGATTTCAAGGGGAGTTTTTCCAGTCATTTGATAATGATCTTTGCCTTAAGCATGGGAATCGGCAGTTTATGCAAACCCCATTTGGAATATATATAGAGCTGTTTTTCACATATTTCTTAGTAAGCAAAACCGGTTAATTGTTGCTAAAAAAAGCCAAAAATGGGCATTGATGCAACCAAGAAATAGTAAATATCGTCCTGATAATAAGTGGGTTTTCTAAAGGGAAAATGAACTTGAACTGTGCAGTTATTTTCTTCACCAAATTCGTAAAGAACAAAAAAGAACAAAAAGAGATTGCTTTAGTTCGAATCCAGTGCAACACCCCCACCTCCATATCCTCTAAAAAATAGATATCTAAACAAACACCACCAAGAAAGCATTGCTAGGTCTTTTAAGGATGTTGACTGTGTCAATGTTGTCTAGGATATGAAAAAAGTCTTACTGAAATTAGAAAGATTTTAGGGTGTGCCTCCATTTATTCTCGATGAATTATACGTGCAGCAGAATGGGGAATAGGTTTTCTCTCGAAAACCTAGAGAATGGTGTTTGCGGAATCAGAAATTAGGTTAACTAACGAATACCTTGAGACTTCATCCCACAAGGGACCCTTCTGATTGGCCTCCTTGAACTTAGGATCAAGCCTCGATCTGATCTCAAGAAGAGTAAGTGTCTCCTGCCTTGGCCACCTCCCAGTGCCCATATCACCACTTCCGCCGCCGTTCAGTCCAACAGCCTCCATATCAAACCCTCCAACACCAGCCCCTATACTAGAAGCAGCACCAGTACTAGCAGTTTTACTAATATTAAAACTAGCACTCGTTGTAGAATCTGAAAGAAACTCTTGGTGTAGCCCACGTGGTACCATCAGCATATCGTAATGTTGCGTCGGTGTGAAACCAGAGTGGCCGGATAACAAGTCTGGCGGATGAGATATGGGTGGGAACAAGGCCCTGCCGTTGATGCACTGCCTTAGATCGGCCATCAAATATTGATCTTCCATTTCCACTCAACACAGTTGTTTCAAGAAATCAGAGAGAGAAGAAGGCTGTTTATGAGAGGACCTGGGGTGTTGGTGGGGTGGGTGGGGAGACAATGGTGAAAGGAGCGGCAGACCCGGATCGTGTCTTTACAGTAAAAAGGTTTTGAATTTATGCAAAGGGTGATGGACCCATCTCTCTGTTTCTTCTGCAGAGATGTGAACCCTACTTTCTCACTCCTCCCTCTCTCCCTCATATACGTATAGGATACGGGTATTATACTGTATAGAGGGTAAGGAGAATGGCCAAATTAAGGAGTGACAAACGTCAAAAAGCGAATTAAACGAAATTGTGAACAGTTCTTGCTTGTGGTTCAACAGTGTTTTAGTACTGCCTTTTGATTTTTTTTCTAAAATTTTCATTGTCTCCAATGGAGTCTCTCTCTCTCTCTCTCTCTCTCTCCCCCTCACACACACACACGAACAAACGCAAAGAGAGAAGGATTAACAAAGAACTGATACAGTCTTAATTCCTTGTTAATACCACTGACTCTTCTGTCAAAAATTTAGGAGAGCCATGCATTTTGCCATACTCTTAAACAAAGAATAATGTATTTTTATCTGCTAAAATATTCATTTTGTTCCTCTAACAGTAGCCAAGTAATTAATTTTTTTTAGTGAATTTTACCCAAATTTTGATCCTTCTCCAAAGTCCTAACAAAAGGAACTCAATACGGGGCTCGAGGAAATTTTATTTTTCATTTTTTTGGTAGGAGTGAAATTCTAAAATGAATATTTTCTTGGAACAAAATGCAGTACTGCTAAATCCTAGTGCAAATTTTTGGATTACAGAATATAAACCGCTAAATATTTAAATTGTTCTATCAGAATGCCATGGCAGACTGAATGAGCCAACTGATTTGATTCTAATCCGTTAATTATGTTGGTGTTGGAATTCATCATAGAATAATATGTTGTCAATAATTATGAAGATTAGACGAGGTGGACGAGGAAGAAGAAGTGGTTCCAACTCATACGATCATGGCCAATCGATCGCTTCCGAAAATAGGTTTGAAAGGAAAGAATTCAAGAAAAGAGAATAAATAAAATTTTAAATCATTAACCTCTGTTGTAAATTTTGTTGCTTTACCTATAGGACAATTAGGTCAAACTCTTGAGCTGATCTTGAGTAAGGACTATGTCGAGCTCTTGTACTTTATAGCAGCAATGAGCGTCACTCAACTTTGCATTCATGTCACATTTGACTTTTTTTGTGAAACATATTTGAGCTTAATAATATTAATTTTTGAGCAGTTTCGAGCTAAAAATTGACTTCGAACTTTCATCGCCTTAGTAAAATACTCAGTAAAAATATTACGATAAACATACAACTCCAAATATTTATCTCTACTTTTAGACCAAACCTCTATTTCTAGTTTGAAGAATTTGTAATAATTCAAAAGCCAACCACTATCAACTTTATCTCAAGAAAGGTGTAACTTCCTTTTTCATGTATTGCCTTCTTTATTGCTAGCTTTTTCTTGCTACTTATGGCAAGATTTCAATAACAATTTTTACAAAGGGAATCTTAAGATATAAAATTTGTGGGAGATAAAGTTAACATGTCTCCTTATTTAAAGCTACTAATATATAGATTTTATTGGGTTATTATATGTCTAGGTAATGGTTATCTCCTTATTGTCGAGGGATAGCCCTCTTTAGGTAGTGTGCATTGAAAAAAAAAATTATGACATTTTGGCACTCTATACTAAAATAATATTATGAAAATATCGGATAAAAATTTATTTCTTTTTAATGTTGGACGTTCTATATCCATTATTTAACACCTTGCAGATCCAAAAGAGACTCGTTGACCAGTTAAGCAGATAGGACTCAATTGGCCAAGTCGCTCCTCGACTCGTCCCTACTCAATGGATCGATCTGTTCGTATTGAGGCAAGTAATGAATTGATTCGAACTAAAAAAAAATCATAAACAAGCAAACTCGATCAGCTCATGGGCTAGGCCCACAAGTCGGCTTGTAGGTCGTGGACCACTAGATTTGACCGTTTAGGTGGCCAAATGGTCACATGATCATTTTGCCCAATGATCATTTTCTTCTATATGAAACTCTCACTTCATTTTGTCACACAATCCTACCTTCTCAATTTACAATTATTATAAGCTCCAAGTTAGCTCTTTTTCTCAATTTACAACTTTTATCCCACAATCGGTACTAGTCGATATGTTCGATTATGGTTAAAATGCCCACATCTCCCTTTTTATTCTTTTAATCAAATCTTTACTAATCAACTATACCTCATTTTTTAAGTGATTAGCTTTTCCCACCTAAAAAAATATTTTCTAACAGAAATGAATCCGCCACCCCTCATTGCCGCCTTCGCCTCACTTAACACCACCACATCATGCCACTGCTACATAAAAATTCGAGTTTTTCTTCTTCTTCTTATGACTCTTCTTGTAAGTGTTCTAGATTGACATTTTAAATCAAGATCTAAATATCTATATCCATATCTAGATCTGTGATGGTGTTATGCTGGGGTGATGATTGCACAATGATGTTGGGGCTGATGGTGGAGCGAAGGTGGTGACGATGGCTCGACGACAGTGCGATGTTACATATTTTTGACCAAACATAACATATAATCTATAAAAATGTCGAACAAGGTGGTGTTACGGTTTAAATGGTAGTAGCACACATGTTACCTTGCAAGAATATGGTAACATATGTTACTCTTTATTTTATGGTATCTACTTGATATTTTAGTTTTCTTCACTTGTTTCTGACCCGACATGGTACCTGTGGGAAGTGTGGAGGTGGCATTGATAGTTGGAAACAATGAAAGCCTAGATAATGTATAATGGTAATACAGTAACACGTATGTTACCCCTTAGTGAATTAAAAAATAAGTAACATAGTAAGAATAGGGATTTTAAGGTTTAGGATGCATTAACATAGTAATTCATGCCACCATGGTAACATATATATTATTCGAATCATATAATAATAAGAAATACAACCACATGTATATTAAGACTGAGAGGTTGTTTGGTGGATACTAAAATTAGATTTTTAGTAGATTGTGATAAAAGTTTTTGAAATGTGTTGTTGAAAAGATATGGGACCCATGAAAGATGTGGTTAATATTGATTGTTTGACTTTAACTTAGATTAAAATCAGATTTTAATCCGACTCAAACAGGTCCTAAGTAATATAGTTTTAACTTGAACGGTTGTTTTTAATTTTAAAAAAATGAAATATTTTAATGTTATATATATTTTTTTTTTTTAATGAAAAAAATATTGATTTTTAATGAAAAATGTGTATTTTGGAATTTTTTTTTTTTTTGTAAAATGTGGTATTTTTAGGCTTTTGGGAGAAAAGTAGGATGTTTTGATGATATTCCTTATGAGTAGTATTAATTGTTTTCTCCATAACTCATAGAATAAATTAATATTAATTGAATTCTAAGCTTATGCTGCATGATCATTAGTTCAAAATACTTTATGCCCTAAGGCATAGAATAAATTAATATTATAGAATTCTAAGCTGCATCATTAATCGAAAATAGTTTATGATATAATGGATAAAGATTAGCACGCAGAGAATTTGAATAATGAATTTCCAAAGAAACAATGGTTGTGTCATCATAAGTTTGGTTTAATAATATGAAACTAAAGAAACAAAAAGTAGTCCCCAACCTAACCTCAATAATTGAAGAATCCTCCAACAATATTTTGGTACCACTACGTATGTCTTATGATAGCTGGACCATCTTTTCAGTTTCGTCTTTTTCCTAAATAAGAACGCAAGGGTGGTCCGGAAGCCATACTCTATGCTGATCAGGTGCTGCAACACGTCTTTCTCTGCTCCCTTAAGCATATGTTCATCCACATGCCTGTACCTCAACCTAAGAGGTTCTTGTTCAACATATACAGCTTTGTCCTTTTGCACGTAATTAACTAATTATCGTTTATAAATAAAAGGTATTTTACAATAACATAGCCGACACTCTATCTATCATTCTCACAATTTTTATTTTTATTTTTTTAGCGGAATTTGAAAGAATTTGCAGCACACTTTGACATGAATTCGGTTCATAATGCTTAATTGAAAAGATAAAAATTCTCAAGATTGTCACGATTGAATCACCTTGCTTTTCAAACTTTAAAATCTGCATTTTCTTGCACTCCGATGATCCCAATCCCAATCACAATGAAATGAGATTATCATCCACCGCCTAAGTACCTAATTTTATGAGTTTTCATGTCATAAATGAGACTCAAGACCCTTTCTAATTTTGGTGCATTTTTACATATGAATTTCACCAAAACAATCCACAACCCTATGAGATTCAAGGATTGTGTGTTTTGAATTCTATTCAAATCATTTTCTCCAACCCTTCTTTAATATCTTGCAGATTGGGTCACCCCACAAAAACGATCCACAACCCTATTTTTCCAACAGAATAATCACATACGTGGCATGTACATAGATCAATCAAACCCATATCAAGGGGTGTAAGCGGTCCGGTTTTACCGATTTTTGACAAATTTTCAAACTAAACCGTTTCAACTGGTTTGAGAAAAACTCAAACCTAAACCAAACCGTTTTAACTGGTTTGAAAAAAACTTATACCTAAACCTAACGGTTTGGTTTGGTTTTAAACCGCCGGTTTCGCGTATATTTTTTTACATGTCTAGTATCTACTTTTATGCCATTAATTCAATATATATTTATATCTTACTGACAATAAATATAAAATAAACTAAATATATCTACTATAAATTTAAATACCAACAAAATCAAAGTAAAATCATAATAAACTAAACTCACAATCATATAATTCCAGAGATAATTTAGAGGGTTTTCATGTTCAAAAATTAAGAACACACAGCTATTACTGCTATGTAACTAAAATCACAGAGTTTCGAAAATAGAAATAATCCACTGGTCACAAAAAATCACAAATTTAGGGATTTTCAAAAATCGAGATGACAAAC